CATCCAGATTCAATTTTAAAACTTAACTTACCTTACATTGATATACTGTCTCTTAATTGTTGTGTAAGTATTGTACAGTAGCAGCTGTTTGTTGGTTGTACTGTTACTACTGTGTGTAATTGTATTTTTACATTAGATTAGGTATTGGGCTCTAGTTTCAGACGAGGGTGAAAAGAGGCGAAATTTGAAGCATGTAAACATGTCACCAGTAGAGACACAACATACAAATATGAACCTGAGAATGTGCATAATAGGAACCCTTTAATTGTATGTTTATTGAAAAATCATGTATGCTAATTTCATCCTGCATAAAATAATAATAAACAGCTGGCACTACGCTGTGTTCGTCTCCCTCTATCAGTGCCCAGTAGTAAAACCTTCCTAAATGTTTTTTTCCCTCTGTCACAAAGCTTCACATAAAACCAACTTCTCTTTGTTTAGTTGTTCTTCTTCTTCTTTCGTGTAACGTTAGAGGTCCAACTCTGTGTCGTGTAGCCATGCCCACATCTCTGGTCCTAGGTCGAAGAGGCTGGCTTCTGAGGGTGGTCTATATAAGGGGCAGATGGTGATTATATGGTCAGCGGTCTGCTCAGGGTCACCGCACTCGCATGCCGCACTGTCCGCCAAGCCCCACGTCTTCATCGATGTTTTAAAGCGACCGGCCCCAGTTCGTAGACGGTCCAGAGTGGTCCACTGCCGGCGCGGTAGGTCGTCTCCTCCAATGGCGCCATCTCCTGGGTCCCAGATGTAACGGTGGATTCGGGAGGGCCCGGCTGACTCCCACTCCTGCTTCCAAGCTGCTGCCAACCATGCATCTCTGGAGATGTCCTCAGAGGTGAGCATCTCTTGTGCTGCTTTGTTGTAGGGGTGGCGGGACTTGAGTCTGCTTGGAGGTGCTGGTGTTATTGTGGTGTTGTGCAGGATGTGCCAGTCATACTTTTGTGCCTTCCTGGCCAAGGCGAGGGTGGCAGCCTCCCGTCGGAGGCCGGCCGGTGCTATTCCCGCGAGGACTGGCAAGAGGGACACAGGGGTAGGCTTTAAGCATCCAGTTATTATTCGGAGGGAGGTTGATAGCCACGTGAGGGCTTCTGCTCCAGACTGGGGCGCAGTATTCCGCTGCAGAGAAGACCAGGGCTTGAGTGGAGATTCGCCGCGTCTTAGCGGAGGCTCCCCAGGTTGTTCCAGCGAGGCGGCGGATCAGCGCGACCCTGGATGTCACCTTGGCCTTGACTTCTTCCAGGTGTTTTTTAAAGGATAATGTCCAATCCAGACGCACTCCAAGATACTTCGGGGCTTGCTGGACCTCCAGACAATTGTTGTTGACGCGCACCTCAAGTTCCCTCCTGGCTTCTCTGGTGCTAAGGTGGTATGCCGCTGCGACTGTCTTTCCGACGCTGAGCTGTAGACGCCACCTTCGAAGGTATGCTACTAGTGTGCCCATGTCTTTGTTAAGACCCTCTTCCATCGCCTTCCACGTTGTTCAGCATGATGGCAAGATCGTCTGCGTAGGCCATACTTTCTGGAGCTGTATCAGGTAGGTCGTGGATGTAAACATTGAACAGCATCGGCGAAGAGAACAGACCCCTGCGGTACCCCGTTCTTCAGTCTTCTGAGCCTACTGCACTGGCCACTGCTGGTCTGGAGGATGAAGCTACGGTTGGAAAGTGTCTCCATGATGAACTTCACCATGTGGCGGTCCGGTATTGTCCTCAGCAGCTTCAGGTGGAGTCCCCGGTGCCACACGGTGTCATATGCAGCAGTCAGATCCAGGTACACTACCCCAGCTTTCTCATTGTCCTGGAAGCTGTCCTCGATGTCGCTGACAGAGTAGTGTTACCGTGTCTGCCTGTTGATCTTCCACGACGGAAACCAGCTTGTTCCCGTGGAGCTGTGAGTCCACACTGGCTCGATGCGACTATGGATCATCCTCTCAAAGATCTTAAATGGGACACAGAGCAACGAAGATTGGTCTTGTATGACTTGGGGTCTTCTGCAGATTTATTTGGCTTCGGCAGAGCTATGACACTGACAGAGGCACGGCGCCAAGTCTTTGGGAGCTTTAATCTCTGGTAGGCATGATTATAGAAGCACAGAAGCCACAGCCAGAGATGTTGTTGTGGCTCTGGTGGGATGACGAACTCCAGTGGTGTTGCAGCGGCCGGGGGATTTGCCTGGCTTGAGGCTTGCTCATGGCCTCTCACTGAGTTCCCTCTGCTGTGAATTCCTCCCGAGAGGTTGGAATCGACACTTGGCCGGGCTCTCCGAGATTCAAGACACCTCACGCGATGTCAGCTCGGGCAAAGGGTTTGTCAGGCATCCGGGAAGGGCCGCTGTTCTTCAGCGAGGCTGGGGATGGCGATGGGGTTTGCTGTGACTGGGCAGGCTGTGTGGTGTTGTAATTTCTGCCTGTAAGCTGGTTGATATCTCTGGCCTGCGACGCGCTGTGCGTCCGCAGAACCTGCGCAGTGAATGTCGATTGCGATTGATCACAACAACCGCTCGTGTCCATCTGCCCTGTGGGCTCCTGATGGCGGGTGAGTATCCATCGCTTCCTTGAGCAGTGCTGCTGCAGTCACCCATCCACCTTCTTCTCTGGAGCTAGCCCCTCTGGGTGGTCAACACAGAGGTGGTGCATTCCTCGTCCCAACCTGGGATGTAATTCCTCTGTTATAGCCGCACGTGGGATGGTCTCTTTGCCAGCACCCAGGAGGAGACCTGAGCAGATAGGCGTGCATAGCCGCCATCCAGGTCGGCTGTGTTTGGGTCTGGCGGGCCAGCTGCCACTTCTTTCAGTCTCCTCAGCATACGACTCCCAGTTGGCCTTTTCGGAAGTTCCATCGCTTGACGGGTTTCCCTGGTACTACCGGTTCCACCAGTGATGGGAATTAATGATGGATGGTCGGTGAGTGAGCGGGGAAACCTGTCCAGGACGGCGTCTCTCTCGCGGTTTTCGGGTCGTTACTGTTGGCGAGGCACAGGTCCGGGTGGTGGAGGTGTCCAGCGTGCAGAGAAGAAGGTTGGAGGCTCCTTGGGGTCATACAGCAGCAGACGCATCAGTGTTGGAGGCCCATTCACTCAGCGCCACTCCATTAGGTGTCGTGTAGTTGTAACCCCCAGTCTGTGTGCTGACAGTTGAAGTCACTTGCATAGATGGCGGGTGCAGTTATTGATGGGAGTGACGTCGTGGACAGCTCTGCTGGTGGGGGCTTATATACATTGACGACTGATGTTTCCTGGATTTTTGTAACCAGCCACTCGATGTTAGAGCCTGGTGGGGATTAGCTACTGGCTGACCAGCTTATTTCAGTCCGGATGAACGTTGCCACACCGTGTTGCTTGCTGTAGATGGACCCAGCGAGATGGAACCCAGGGATCTTGAGGATGTTGTCTGATGTGCAGTGTGTCTCCTGCAGGAGCAGAACCGCTGCCCCATTGGAATCAGCCAGGTGACGCAGGACTTCGAGTTTGCCGGTTGTTAGGCCCTCGACATTGAGTTGAAGCACTGACAGGCCTCGGTTTTCGACGGTCGGGATGACTGCCCGTCCGCCGGTCCTAAGCCTGCCAGCTCGACTTTTGGTTGGCGACATTAGTTTCACAAGTTGGTCTTGCACCATTTCTCGTTACTTGCAGAGGAGGCCAAGTGGAGGCTGTCGTCTTCTCCTCCTTTAGTTGTTCTGTAAGCTGAAGCATAATAAACGTACATTCAGCCATGCAGTCTCCATGTTGCTTTACTTTTTCTCTCTTTTCTCACTGCATCATCAATTTGTATTTTTTTAGAGATTAAGATCACCTTTATTACTTCCAGAGGGGAAATTCAGTTATTCACCCTTGTGTTAATTTACAATTTCAGACATACACACCCAGTTGCACAACAGGGCCTATAGACATGCATGCACTAAATGGAGAAGTGGCTGAGCGATGGGGCTGCTTTTCCTCACTCTGCCATGCGCTCCGATGCCTGGGAGTTGGAGGTTCGGTGCCTTGCTCAGGGACACCTCGGAAAATTGAACGGGCGACCCTTCGGTTCCATGTCCCAATGGACTGAGCTACTGCCGTCTAACTTAACTTCACTGGTCTTACCCTTAATGTTGAGGCAGAAAGAAACTCCCATATCAGCTGCCCTCAATTTTGAAAGACGTCAATATGGGGCAAGATGACAGATGCATTAAAAATAAACCCTCTATTTTAGTGGATGGCAGATGTTGGCCTCCTCACTGCTAACTTGGCCCGTCTTGGTGTCTAAACGTGGGCTAAAACTCTACAGATCTGTTTCTTTTATAGTCTCTTTGGAAAGTTGTAAGCATTCACTCACAAAAAAGTACAAGTTTACATATTTCTGATGCAAAAAGTTCTAAAACTCATGAATGGCAATACAGTCAAAAATCTATTGACAATCAGTCAAAATATGAAACACCATGATGTTTAATATTTGATAAGCATGGATATTCAACTCACTTTGTTTTAGGGTGGATGTGGACTTTTACATTCATTATAAATGTATCTCATTGTTAAATGTGATCAAGCATATTTACAAACATTAATCATAAATGTTACCCATTTTGTTGAAAATGTAGGTAGCCTACTTACTTTTAGCAAAGTTCTTCTATCTGGCTTTATCTCATTCTTAATTTTAGTGAATGTTGGAGAAATCTACAGATGCAAATAGACCAATAATAGCAGAATAAGCTGTTTTCTTACCACTAGTCTGAAAGAAGAAATGTATCAGGCATCAAATCACAAACTCAAAAAATAGGCCAGTACAATCAAAAGGAAATGCCTGTTGGGTATCACCTTAAGTCTTTTATTATGCTTTTTCCTTTTGCTTGCTTCACCTGAATCCACCCGTACAGTCAGTACGCCAAATCTCTCCTATTATTTAATGTGTTACTTGAATTTATGGAGTAATTTTGTATCTTCATTTTGATACGTAAATTTAAATCATAGCACTAAGTACATGTTAACTAAAGTAATGTGTTGACCTACAACCTGTGAAAAGCTTGTAAAATGTACCTGGGCAATGTGAGTAAAATTGGGCGACGCCCCTGATGACGTCAGAGGAGTTTGCGCATGGTACAGATATTTGAAAAAAAGCAGACGGTTCCAGTAGAAGAGAGATGAAAGCATGAAAGCATGGACCCTCGTCTAATAAGAATACTCGTGGATTTTGAATCATGTAAGTATATTTTTGTACTTTATTAACTCTGTACATCCCCGTCAGCTTAATATGGATATCAAACAAATGTTAGCTAACGTCAGTGTTTCAGCTTTAGCAATTTAGCGTGTTTTCTAATTTAGCCTGCTGTCATGGACAAGGCACACACAACATATAATGTTTAGTAGTTGCTTCAAATTAGTTAACAGTTGGCGAAATTCACCGTTTTGAATAAAACTTGTAGCAGTGGGGCACTAGTAGTTCAGAAGAGTTATTTTGTTGATGGTGTTCGCGCTACATTTTCAAATGCTGCTCGGTAGTTAGCAGTGTGTTGCCAAACTGAGTTTTCCTTTTACTGTGGAAGTCAAGTCAGTTCACTCACATGCATCCGACTGTGTGTAATGCACATGTGTTCTTTTATTTCCTGTGTACACTGAGACAGATAGCGGCACCAGATTCCTAAAAGAAGGGAATGTCACATTCACTGCCATGGACGCTGCTCAGTGGGCCAGTCTGTGATGCGGCCAGAGGGGTGATCCAGGAAGACTACTGGGAAGTTCAACTGTTGGTGCCTCCTTCTGTAGCGCGTTACATTGAAGTTAAGGCATACTCTTTGTCTCCAGTATCTTTCTGTACTTACAGTAATGTGTGTTCGCTACAATAATTGACATGTCTGTTAAACAGCACCACGTTGAAGTTAGACAGAAGCCGTCCTCCCGCCTGATGGAGCTTCTGGAAGAGTCTGCAGAGAGGAGCTGATTAAAGAGAACCAGGTAAATGTTCTGCTTGATTTGTGTTAAAATGTGCCTGCTGTTCTGTTTGTACATGAATATCTCTATTCTCTAAAGGTAAGTAGGCTACATCTTGCCAGTATGTGAAAAACCTCTTCAGTCTCCAGTTTTTAAGTTAACATTTAGATA